CAACTACTTATAGGACTCACCAGGCGCCCTCCAGCAATTATGGCCGTAATAGCAACAATTGCCTTCACAGCAGCCAATCCAAGTGCTTCAGCAATTGCTTGGAAACCAACCTGAAGACAGATGAAATAATTGCCCAATACAAAAACATAAGCAGCCGCAGTGGAAAAGTCGTGGCAGAAACAGATATAATATAACAGAAGTTATAACTGACACAAGCAACCATAACGAAGAAAGGAGCAACATCCAATCGATGGTATAATTTTGACTTTTGCAGATAAAATCGATCTTAGCATTATATGGTCAAAGCAGATACTTCAGCAGAAAAGGTGGTGTGCCTTGCCTAAAAATACTGCATGAATAGTATTTAAACAAGCAAGATAAGATGCCTCTGAATTATGTCATATAAATTGTGAGAATAAGTTAGAATTGTTACCCCTCCTTTGGATGAATTTGGTGAAATAAGAGGTATGAGTATTAGCAAAACTACAACAGCCAAATCCTGAAGGAAAACCAAAGAGGAAAATACAATCAATTAGAGAAAAATAAAATCAAGCTGAACGTCACACATAAACAAAATCACATTAATATTGAGCACAAAGAAAAAGCCATATCATGATAGGAGAAAATTGAAGAGTTGCAGCTGTAATTTAGCTATGTTGCTCAATGTGAAAATACAAGATTATGGATCATAAAGTAAGATATATACTGTACAGAATATAACTCAGAAGCAAAGATACGGCCAATATGTAGAAATCCATAAAGTCAACTATGATCCTTGTGTAACATCCGCAATATGTTGAGTTTAACATACATTTCATGACTTCCAACATTATATTATAACATTTTCTAAGTTCATTATTTGTTAGAGCATATGGATACCTGGAAAAGTAATACAGAAAAGGTAGCTCGCCCATGACGAGATGTGCTCTCACCTCGTTCCTGCAATACCTGCAGAAGAAATTCCAACAGGAATCAAGTGCAAGCTAAGAGGGTATGTGCATGTCTTGACCACTTAATCCCCAATTAAACACAATAACCTAAGGATTAACAGGTAAATGCCGGCAAAAAGCAGTGGAACATCATGATTTTCCAAAGGAAGAAGCAGGTTTAAATTTTGCAATCAGTAAGGAAAGGCTCAAACAAGACGAAGGTTAAACAGAGTCATTCGAAAGAAACTGAAATAATATGTATTAAATCCTCTAAAACCGAACAGCGATTCTGATGCTGGAGCATTAACTAATAATTCCATCATGTAGTGACGATTCTTCAGTGGTATGCTGGGGCATCTAAGTACCAACAAAGGCAAGCACAAAGTCTATATCACGTATTAGACAAGGTTGTTTGAAGTAATCTCCGAAGGCACCTTCCAACATTCCCAGACACTCAGGTATAAAGGAGACAATAATATGGCTGTGACTATATTTCCACAAATTTAGATTTGAATATGCTACAAAACTATTTTAGACCTAAATACAATTAGGTTTGGCCACTGATCAGTTTTTTCAGCCATATATGTTTCTCTGAAGTTGCTGAACCAAGACCAAACCAGCTTGCTCTTTATCGTGTTGCAAAAAATAGTAAAGCCCTTCTTTAAAAAATAGGGGCACTTGCTTGTTGCTATAGAAAAAATTTGAGGTTTCCCTGCACGTGAACATAGTTTGAATCTAGCGCTTTCTTTGAGTGGGATTTCTTTTGTTTTATCTTTACTTTGTTCATTCTTTCTTTGAAGTTTTCCAACTATTCAGCAAGAGAAATGAAAGTTGCCTAAAAGTTGAATTAAATTGACAATTTCTGATTTGAAGGCATATTTTCATGGCACAGAAAAATGTCACCACCAGATTAACCACATACTCATACATAAGCAAAAACAGCAAAGGACAATTACCTGAAGGACAACAGCAGTTGAAGATAATGCCAGGCCATTCCCGATGACAATTGCAGCTGGACCTGGCTGCCCAGTAACAAAATGAGCAACCAAGCCAACCACCACTGCTGTCACCAAGACCTGCATTTCTTATGCACATTAGAGTTATAAGATAGGAAACTAGCGCATGAATTATGTGCAAGAAAAAAATGTCTTGTGCCAAAAAAATGGTATGCTTTCAATCACCTGTGCTGAGCCCAAACCAAAAACATATTTCTTCATGGAACTTAATCTTTCAACAGAAAGCTGCAAAAGAATGAGCAAGGCCAGTTTCATTCTCCATATTGTATGAGTATAAAAAAGCATTGTCTTAAAGAAATTTTGATCAAGATTCCATGAATTCCACCTCAAGTCCAATATTGAACAGCAAGAACACAACTCCAAATTCAGCAATTGCCTTTGTCACATGTACATGACGAATAATGGAGAGCCCATAAGGTCCAATTAAGATGCCAGCAGCAAGATACCCAAGAACGGGACTACCTAAACACAGATGATACATCATCAATGCAACAACCCAAAGACTTCGAGGAGCATATTTTAGTCTTTTTAGAAAGGAAAAGATGAACCGATTACATGATGGCCCAGTAGAAGAACTGTCTAGTTTTTGTCATTAAAATCACAAAACCATATTTGTAAGTTGTTAGAAGATAGATTGATCTACTTCCAGGCTATCTGAAACAAAAATTTATAACAACTAACAAAAAGAGGTGAAAAAGGGCTGGCCGGAGAATGAGCAGTAAGAGGCAAAATCCAATTATAAAATAAAATTTTTGCAGGCAAACATATTAAAATGTCAAAGCATGTAGTAAGAGACAACCTTATTAGATCAAAAGCAGAAAATGCGGATGAGAAGGCCTCTATTTCACAGCTAGAAGAATAGATAAAGAAATTCAGTCACCTCCAGGGATTTTCTGGAATATAGGAACAAATATTACACTTGCAAGCAATAACCACAACATGTCAAATAGAGAAGCTTCTTCCTCATTTACCTGAGAGAAAAAAGAAGAAAAAACATTTGATCAGGAAGAACAAAATAAATAGATAAAAAAATAGTATAATTTATTATATTTTGAGCCAAAAGCATGACCAAAAAGTGTTTTGAGTCACATGCCTCCTGATGAGGAAGCATTTCCATAAATGTTTTTATTCTCTTGGGCAATTTCCTTATTTGTCTGACCAGAGGCTTTGTGTTTGAAGAAACTTCATCAATACTGGTAGTGATAATGTCTGGCTGTTGAAACAGCTGATTAATTGTATCTTTCCGGTTGGCATAAAAAGCAATCCTGTGATAAATAGAAGCACCATGTGACCAAAGGAAGGCAAACCCTCACACTATATACAGCAAAATAAAAACCAATAGCACACTCTGCTATCAGAAAGAAGTAACAAGAAACTAATAACAGAGAAATTTTAACAGTAAAGCATGTCATGGATATAACTGTAAAGCAGTACAATAGATGGAATCATTCTGATGATAATGCATACCCTGCTCCGACAAGCAATGAACCAACCACCAGCTTAGGCAATTGCTTACTTGCAGACTCTACAAGAGTATGGAAAGCTGAAGCCGGTGTGAACTCAGTCCCATCTACTGTAAAAGAGAAGAATGATGCAGAAAAGAAACGGGATGACTTGTTCAATAATGCTTTTGGTGCATTGAACAGCGAGCTGTCCCTAGTCAAATCCTTCTGTATTTCCTGCTTCTTAGGTTGGACATTCTTTGACTTCTCTGCATCTAATTCAGTGTCTTTTGGTGAGTCTAGAGTTAATTTCCCATTCTCTCGGTTATCTGGTAGAGCATCCCCAACCAAAGAAGCAACATCAATTGGCATATCTTTATCTCTTTCAGCAATGACATCACCTGAAGTTCCTCGACTCGTTTGCTCCTCGTCAACGATTGCCCCATCACTCAATACTTGTCCATGGGACGATGATCCCTTTGGGGACATTGGACTTTCTGGCGTATCTGCATGGGAAATACAGATATTTTTCTCTACTTTATGCAAGGCAATCTCTGCATCATTCACGCGCTGTGTAGCCTCAAGCTCGAAAGCAACAGCTTGCTCTGCTAGAAGCATTATATTTGCAACATCCTCCTCAGCTTTCAGAGCATTCAATTCTGCTTGCTCTGCAATCTCATTCAGCCTGTCCACTTCCTTCTGCAACTCTTCTTTTTTGCATTGCAACCGTCTCAGCTCTGTCTCACAATTTGCCAGATGATCCTGGAACTCTCTGATATCATCCTGAGCAACCAAGAGCACTTCCCTCTCTCCCCTCAATTCATAATTTGAATCACTCTCTCCACAAGCATCTGGTGAAACCCCTGTTTCTTTTGCAGATGTTAATGAATTCAGTGCAACCTGAAGCCTCGCCTCAGCCAAAGAAAGGGTCATTGTTGCTTTCTGGACAGCTTCTTTAGCAACAGCCCCTTCATTTACAACTTCTTGAATAGTATTAAGGGTAGAATTAACATCATTCCAAGCATTTGTTGCTTCATCCTTTAACGCTATAGCAGCTTCTGATATTCTCTGAGCCTTTTCTTCAAACACGGTACTGTTAAGCTTCGCAATCTCCAACTCCTTAAGTGCCTTCTGCAACAACTCTCTCAACTCATCCACACCACGCACCTGTACTTCTTGATCTTCTTCCTCCAATTGTTCTTGCAAACCATTCGACTCTGCACTGCCATGACTTCCCACCCTTGAGCTCTCTTCACTAGGACTTTCTTCAAATTCTACCTTTCGACCATTACCATCAATATATGCAACCGAATCATTACCCTGACATCGTGATTGAACTACGCCCCTTGATGTCTCAATTGTACACCCAAAATTATGGACCGAAGAATTGAAAACATTATGACACCACAAATGACTATGTAATTCACCTTTAGAAACTATGGACTTGATGACACTACCACTGTATGCAGGGAGTTTTTTCAACTTCTTTGCTGGGCATGCTCTCAATAAAAGCCTCGGATTGCCAAGAAATCTTTTACAGTGAACATCTTTATAATTAAAACCCGAATACAAACTTAATCTACCCAACGCTCTATAACCCGTGCCTTCACCACCATGGAACACATTTGGCTGTCGAAAATTACACCCAAAATCCATACCTCACTTTTTTTCTAAGGCACAAAACAAACAATATCCATTTCACAAAGTCATTAACTTCGAATCAAATACCTGACAAAACAACACAATTTCACAACAAAAATAAGAACAATATGTAGTAATTTAGTCTAGCCCATACGAATTAAACTCGAGTAACACCTAGCCATACTTTCAGACTTAGCAAAATAAATACATCAATATATGCATGTACACCTGCATACATGCCCATATATGTGAACACAGAGATAATGAAAATGCTTAATTCAGCCGTAAGGTTTTCGGCCTCTCAAGCACAAGAATGCAGGTTCGAGTTCGAGACCAGCCACGTTGTGGGGATATGCCAGAGGTAGTGGCATTTTTGTTTACAAACACATGAATCTAAATATGTGATTGTCTGTGTGTAAGATTATTCAATTACATCCAACTTATGTATTCATGTATTTACTACGTATCATATGTGCATATCTTCCACTAGAACATCGAATTTCTTTTGCCTTCCGAAAACCATACACACATTCCAAATCCCAACCTCTCTGGCTTGCTAAGACACAAGATGTGCAACATCTACCAGCACAATCTCCAACATATTTCAAAGTAACAAACTCTCATTGGCATCATATCAAACACCTGGCGAAACAATAAACTTCACACAAACATAAGAACAGATTAACACTTTTAGTTCGATTCTTCAGTTGAATCCCAAGGTCTTAGTAGGAAAACAAATTTGAAAAGCTAATTAATCTGTATCCCAACTACATAACAATTCTGACACACACACATATATAATATTTGTCCACAGAGATACAGAGCGGAGTGTGTGTAGCATAAGATTCCATTGATGTAGGTGACAGTATAATAAATTGAAAGAGTTGAACTCACCGATGACTTGAGAAAATCTCCGGCGGACTTTCCCAGGAAAATTTGGGTCAGGTCAGGAAATGATGGAACTGATAACAGATCGACACTGGCTTTTCAGCTTTCGGTTTTGCTGCTTTGTCCGAATGGGAGCGAAGACTGTGCAGCAAATGATGAACAGTATATTCTCTCTCCTCTGTTTGGGGGAAGAGAAAATGAAAATAGAATTGCTCATTGCTGAGTATATTTTTCTTTTGTAATTTTACTGAAATACCCATTTTGATTTTTTTTGTGGGGACAAAAAATATCCATCTTCAAAATATTTCGGATAAATATTATAATTAGTCTTTAAAATTTTCTTATTATTTTTAAAATAATCAATGAACTTTTAATTATTTAAATTTAATCTCAATTAAGTCTTTTGATTAATGTGAACAATCACACGACAAACGCTTGGTTAACCTCATTTGTTTTTTGTTTATTTATTTAACGGTTAGGGATATTTGAGTCAGTTTACATGTACTTCGACTAATATTGTCATCAGCTTGATCAAAGACAAATAATCTATGCATAGAATTAAGGTATTCATGATAAATAAATCTCTTATAATTTTAGCCCAAGGAGTTGCAGAGTTTCAAATTCATAACGTGTAAATTTACAATTCGTTTTTGTTATCACTTAAGTTAGTCATTGGAGTTTACCTTCATTTATTAAACTCCATTTATTCTAACAAAATGACTTAATAAGATAAAAGTATTTTCATTGGATGGAAAATCAGAAATAATTGATAGGGATTGTTGTAAATTGAACTAAATGTTATTACAATTATTTATACAAAGTCAAACTATATTTATAATGACAAGTAGTGAAGCTGGCATGTAATAATGTATACTAAATTCAACTAATGGAGTTAGTTGGATTATAGATGGCAGAGATAAAGATGTAGTTTTAGTTATAAGGGTAAGATGTAATTTTTTTATCAATATTGAATATGCCAAAATTATGTGATAGCAAAATGATTAATAAAAAAAAAGTATAAGAATAATCATTAATTATTGAAAAAAAAAGTGCTTATTCTCGTGTGCAGATAATTTTTTTGTAATTTAAATATGTATTGTATAACCGTCAATAAAACAACTTTATAATTATAGTTTTTTTTTTTGATTAAAAGAAGAGAATATATCATTAATTACATATGAAAATTCAAATTACAATCAGACAAAAGAGAAGTCATAAACTCGAAAGGGGGTAGGCTAACCAATCCAAAGGAAGAGAGTTGGTTAGCTTAGAAGCTACCACTTAATGAGCAGCCTTATTACAGGCTCGTGGCTTGTGTAAAAAGTTAAGGTTAAGTAACCTTGTAAAAAATTTAATATCATCCTTTATGGCCCTAATCTTCCAGGGGGTAGCATCTTCTGTAGCGCTTAATTTAATGATAGGCAGACAATCAGCAAGAGAGCATCAGCAAGAATACAAGTTTGGCAGACAGCTTCGGCTTCAGATGACAAAGAAGATCCAGCAGAAAAAGACTTAACTACAAATATAATTGTAGTTAAATAGTAAAAAAATATGAAAGTTCAAATTATCTTTCATTTTTGTTGAATGGTAATTATATGGAGAGGACGAGAACGAGAACGAAGTTCGAACTCACAAATAATTATAGAACAGTGATCATTAAGTCAATTATTGAATCCTCGAGTTGATAACTTCGAATGTGATATATTTCCAAAGCAAAACGTAAAAACTAAAATGATTTTAAAAAAAAAAAAAAAAAAAACAAGTAATATATTCAGAAATGGGGATTAAAAAAAAAACAAGAATAAAAATTTTATTTTTTATTTATGAAATGGAGTTAAAAACTCCTGCATCGCAAGGAATAATTTCCCTTGGGCACGCGCGGGGCATACCTGATTAAGATATTTAGGCAGTGAGAGAAGCCTCGCTGTTCGTACTTGCCACCAACCATTGGCCGGCCTAGTCACGGCCTTGTCATTAACAGATTAAACTAATTGTTAAATAATATATATATTTTTAATTTCTTGGCTAAATTTACTAAAATAGCCCTGGTATCTGTTCCATGTTTCTGGCAATAGAAGTACCGTAAAAAAAAAAAAAATACTAAATTGGATTTTTTTTTTGAAATTAGACCAAATCTCTATATCATAATTGTTTAATAAGAATCGAACAATAAAAATGTGATTCTGTCTTTTGGTGTTAATCACAAGCTTACTAATGTTATTAAAATTTATGCACGACAAAATCAAATCTTATTTTAAGATTTTTTAAACGGGTTCACTCAACATGATCTTTTATCCAAACAATTGGAGAACTAGGCTTATGGATCATTTTTTACGACTTAAGATGATCCAAACTCTAAAATATATGTATTTATAAACACGTATATGATTATCTTTGTTTTTTTTTTTTTTAAAAATGAATATTTTCTTCTCTCCTTTGTGCCATTTGGCATATGAGAAAAGGTGGGAAAATGACATTTTTGTCTCATATTATTTGTTTTTGTTTTTATTTTTGTTTTTTTGGGTGAATTTTATAAAAAGGACTGGTTTTTACGTGAGACAAGATGGACAATTAAAAAAGGACTGGGAAATATGCCAATGGGATATTCCATGGCAGAAAGTTTAGTCCACATGCAGTTAGAGCACGTGAATCCCAGTTTATAATAAAGCGAGGCGAAAAAGGTCCACGTGTCAGGTACAGGTGAGATCTATTTTTTGGTGGACAGGAAAGAATCTGATGCAAGACACTTTGTCCCCTTCGCAATTTGGCCTTATTTCAGTAGTTTCTAAAAAAAAGCGTCTTATCACCAAAAGGACCTAAAATATCTTACTTTTTTCTTTTTCTTTTTTGTACAAAAAAAAAACAGAACTAAATTATCCTATGTTTCAATTTGGTGGTCCCATAGAAATTGGGAAAAATAACCCAAATAAGTAGGTTAGGTGATAATAAAAAAGACCAGTAAATTTAATCGTTTTGAATTTAAATCTTGATAATTTTTTGAAGTCAAGTCATGAGAAATTTATTTCTCATAAATACCTTAATTCCGTTGTTGATAGTTTATCTTTGATAGGATCGGAGATAAGATTAATCGAGATATACGTAAACTAATTCAAACACCTGACCGTTAAATTAAAGAAAAAAAATAAATTAAAAATAATAATGCTATTGTGATATAATTTGAGGATTTAATAGTTGTAATCATTGAATTCTAGTGGATACAATGTATTAAGTTCATATATTGTCATATTAGGCGATTGTATTATTTATATATTAGAGGAGTAGTCGACGCAAGCCTGAATATCTAATAATAAAAAAAAAATGCAAACAACTGTACCACTAGGAAATAATAGTGTTAAATATACTTTTATTTTTGACAATTGTTTTTGTTTAAAAAAATTACTTAAAATTCCTTACCTAAACTTTGTGTTAGTTTTTTAATGCATGTTAGTGCAACCAATCAGGCCAAAGTAATACTGGTAATCTTCTATTTGAGGTCTAATGGATGGTTATTTAATGTTTTCATTACTGCTAGAGTTGATAATCATTAACCCGATGTCGACGTTATCAAGCATGAGTTTAGTCCTAATCAGATATGTTATGGCATTCTGCATCAAGCATTTGTCTTGAGGTCTTTAACTTTTGTGCTTGAGTAAGGGGAGAAAGCAATCACATGAATGCCTGTAAAGGAACATTGAGAATGCATACCAAGGTGATAATACCATGAAAAGAACTTGGCAGTAGATAGATCACTCTTTTGGGCATAACATAGACACTAGGGGTGTGCAAGCTTGCACACGACATCCGTGTGCGTAATTACATAAAAGTAATATATGGAAGAAGATAGATAGATATCATAATGTTAAAAAAACCGATATGATTGGACTACAATTGGTTAAAGAATAATATATAGAACCTTATTTACCCAAAAAAAAATATACTGACCACGTACGTTGGAAAAAAAATGATCATTCACAATGGACGCGAAACTAATAAGAATGTATCCGGTAGTATACCATTTCTAATATAAGAATGTCATGAACATGCTGATACTAGATCTAGTTAGCATTCAGTACAGAATATCCGGCGATTGACATCTAAACTCTAGAGAATTGAATCAGAAAGAAGAAAAATTAAGTGTTTATGTCGAAGCAGTACATGATGTTTCCAAGTGGCCAAACGGGACAGTTCAACATGGTATGAAGCGTATCATGGGACCTTAGCATACATACCATATCTGAGAGTTTTGAGGCTTTGAGGAATGACACCATGTGTTCAAGACGTAACACCAAAAGAACTGGATCGTCTACTTCATTGACTACAATGACACATTCTCCATTCTGCAGATGATAAAACAAATATATATGGAAAAGAAGATCAGCTTTAAATTTCCAAACTAAACAAGTTTGTGGGGGTAATGCATAAAAATGAGTGATTAACGCTGCACTAAGAGCAATCAGCATACAAAGTGAATCCTTTGTCAGAAACAAAAGGTCCTTTGTTGGAAAAGGACAATTTAGAGAGGTTGGGGATGAGCCGGGGGCGTGTTTTGAGGGTGGGTGTTGGGGGCAGCACACCTTCTCTATAAGGAGCATCTCCTCATTTGCTGTGGTGAGTTTCACTTGTGCAGCAGTTACTAATATGTTCACTGGAACATAATACAAATGTTAGTAGTACAATAATAAACATAAAAGGAAAAGAAACTGCAAAAGCTTATATACTAGACAATATAAAATTAGATGCCATCTCAGAACATCTTGAACCCATAATTATTTTGGATTTAGAGCAATTAGAATAACAACTATCCAACTATGACTAATAGATGACTAAGGTTAAAGGTTTGACTTCATCCTTTTAAGAGTACAATATCGACAGCAGAATCATTGGTTGGAATTTGTCTTAAAAGCACCTCTTTCCTAGGGGCATGGTTCAAGTCTAAATGTGTTAAGTTTTCTTTCAACTTGGGAAGAGATTAGAAGAAGGACTACAGGAACAAGTATTCAGGAATAGAGAGATTCAAACGAGAAATTTCATTATTTCAACTTTCAGTGAAGTTAATTACACCTTATCTATTTGTGAAATTTAATTGGAACATCAGGCAGCAAAAGTGCAATAAGGGAAGCCAATAATACTGTACCTGTATCCCCAAACTCCCGCAAATGTGTCAAAATTTGTCTAAACTTGT